TCATTTTTATTATATTGGCTTGACCTACCCATGAGCAATTGACTTTTTACAATTGTTTAGATACAACTTTTTTTTTTTTTGGCTGAAAAGTGTTTTGTTATTGTGTTCCTGAGTTTGTCTTGGCAGTAGACTCCAAAGTATTTTATGTTGTCTACAACTATTTTAAATGGAATTTCTTTTCTGTCTCTTCCTACTTAGTTTTGTTGATAATATGTGTGTGTGTGTGCGTGTGTGTGTGTGTGTGTGTGTGTGTGTATTATTTATGTGAGTTTAGTGTATATGTTGCAACTTTTCTAAAGTTGTTAATTACTCCAAATAGTTCTTTTAGTTAATTCTTTAGGATTCTCTAAGTATACCATCACATCATCTGCAAGATGTGATAGTTTTGTTTCCTCATCATATATTTTAATTTATTCAATTTCTTTTTCTTCTCTTATTGCTATAGCTAACATTTCTAGTACAATATTGAATAACAGTGGTGATAATGGGAATCATTATTTTACCCTGATCTTATTAGGAAGGCTTCTAGTTTATCCCCATTATAGATAATGCTTCCTGCTGATTTTGGATAGATTCTGCTTATCATTTTAAGGAAAGCTCCATTTATACCACTCTCTAGTGTTTATTTTTTTAAATAGGAATGAGTGTTGTGTTTTGTTGAAAGCTTTTTATGCATCTAGTGAGATAATCATATGATTTCTGTTGGTTTTGTTATTGATATGGATAGTTTTCCTTATATTGAACCAGTTCTGCATTCCTGGTAAAACTCCCACATGGTCATAGTATATGATCCTTGTGATATATTGCTGTAATCTCCTTACTAATATTTTATTTAAAATGTTGCATCAATGTTCCTTAGGGAAATTATTCTATCATTTTCTTTCTCTGTTTTTCCTCTTCCCAGTTTATGTATCAGCACCATATTTGTGTTGTGAAAGGAATTTAGTAGGCTTCCTTTAGCTGTTTTTTCTAAATATTATATATAGTATTAGAACTAATTGTTCTTTGAATGTTTGGTGGAATTCACTTGTGAATTCATCTGGCCCTGGGGATTGTTTCTTGGGGAGATAACCGATGGCTTCTTCAATTTCTTTTTCTAAGATAGGGTTAATTAAGTATTTTATTTCCCTTTCTGTTAATCTGGGCAATTTAGATATTGGTAAATATTCATCCACTTCACTTAGATTGTCAGATTTATTGGCATATAATTGAACAAAATAGCTCCTAATTTTTATATTCTTCTGTGGTGATGAATTCACCTCTTTCAATTTTGAAACTGGAAAAAAAATAAATTTTGAAACTGATAATTTGGTTTTCTTCTTTAAAAAAAATCAAATTAGGGGCAGCTAGGTGGCACAGTGGATAGAGCACCAGCCCTGAAGTCAGGAAGACCTGAGTTCAAATCCAGCTTCAGACCAGACTCTTGACACGTACTAGCTGTGTGACCTTGGGCAAGTCACTTAATCCCAATTGCCTCACCAAACAAAAAACAAAACAAAAATACAAAAAAATAAATAAATCAAATTAACTAATGGTAAAATCAGCTCCTTATTTTATTTGCAATCATTTTCTTACTTTCAATTTTTTGTTATCACCTTTGATTTTCAGGTTTTCCAATTTGGTGTTTAATTAGAGACTTTCAATTTGTTCTTTTTTAGTTTTTTTCATTGTATTGCATCAATCTGTTCTTTCTCTATTTTATTGAAGTAATCACTTAGAGTTATATTTTTCCATAAGTACTGCTTTGGCTGAATTCCATAAAATTTGGTATATTGTCTCTTTGTTGTCATTCTCTCTAATTAAATTATTGATTGCTTCTATGATTTGTTCTTTGACCCAGTCATTCTTTAGGATCAGATTATTTAGTTTCCAATTAATTTTTAATCTATCTTTCCATGCCCTTTTTAAATGTAATTTTTATTGCATTATGATATGAAAAGGATGCCTTTAATATTTCTGCTATTCTTCATTTGCTAGTAAGGTATTTATGCCCTAAAACATAGTCAATTTTTGTGTAAGTGACATTTAACACTGAAAAAAAGTATATTTATTTCTATTCCCATTCAATTTTCTCCAGAGGGCTATCTTTTCTAAAATTCTACTCACTTTGACTTCTTTCTTGTTTAATTTGTGGTTAGACTTTTCTAGTGCTGAGAGGAAAAAGTTGAGGTCCCCCACTAGTATAGTTTTACCGTCTGTTTCTTCATGTAACTGTAACTTCTTTAGAATTTGGATGCTATGCCATTTTGTCCATATATTTTTTAATATTAATATTATTTTATTTTCTATAGTACCTTTTAGCAAGATATAGTTTCCTTTCTTATCTCTTTTTTATTTTTTAAATTAACATTTTTTAAAGTTTTGAATTTCAAATTCTAGCCCTCTCTCCCCTCCCCCTTCCCTGAGATGGTAAGCAATTAGATATAGGTTATACATGTATGATTAAGTAAAACATTTCCATATTAATCATTTTGTACAAAAAGACTCAAAAGAAAAACATGAAAGTGAAAAACAACATACTTCAGTCTACATTCAATCAATATCAGTTCTTTCTCTGAAGGTAGATAGTATGCTTCATTATTAGTCTTTTGGGATTGTCTTGGATCATTGTATTGCTAATAGCTAAGTCATTCACAGTTCTTCATCAAACAATATTGCTGTTACTGTGTTTATCTTAGTTCCATATATTTTACTATGCATCAGTTCATGCAAGATTTTCTAGGTTTTCCCTGAAGTCGTCATCCTTGTTATTTCTTATAGCACAATAATATGCTATTACAATAATATACCACAGCTTATTTAGCCATTCCCCAATTGATGGGCATCCCTTTAATTTCTATTCTTAGCCCCCACAAAAAAGCTGATAAAAATATTTTTGTACAAATACATCCTTCTCCTTTTTCTTGGATGTCTTTGGGATATAGACCTAACAGTAGCATTGCTGGATCAAAGAGTATGCACAGTTGCATTGCCCTGTGGGTGTAGTTCCAAATTGCTCTCCAAAATGGTTGTATCATTTCACAACTCCACTAACAATGCAATAGCATTCCAATTTTCCCACATCTTCTCCAATATTTATCATTTTTTTGTTTTGTCATGTTAGCCAATCTGATAGGTGTGATGTGGTATCTCAGAGTTGTTTTAATTTGCATTTCTCTAATCAATAGTGATTTAGAGCATTTTTTTTAATATGACTATAGATAGCTTTGATTTCTTCATCTGAGAACTGCCTGTTCATATGCTTTGACCATTTATCAGTTGGGGAATGGCTTGTATTCTTATAAATTTGACTCAGTTCTCTTTATATTTTAGAAGTGAGGCCTTTATCAGAGACACTGGCTGTAAAAAATTTTTTTCCCAACTTTCTGTTTGCCTTCTAATCCTGATTGCATTGATTTTGTTTGTGCAAAACCTTTTTAATTTAATGTAATTAGAATTATGCATTTTGCATTTCATAATGTTCTCTATCTCTTGTCTGGTCTTAAATTCTTCCATTCTCTAAACTATTCCTTGTTCTCCTAATTTTCTTATGTCATCAACCTTTATTTCTAAATCATTTACCCATTTTCACCTTATTTTTATATACAATGTAAGATGTTGGTCTATACCTAGTTTCTGCCATACTATTTTCCAGTATTACCAACAGTTTTTGTTAAACAATGAGTTCTTATCCCAGAAGCTGGAGTCTTTGGGTTTATCAAATAATATATTACTATAGTCATTGACTACAGTATTCTTGTGTATCCACCTATTCCACTGATTCGCCACTCTTTTTCATAGTCAGTACCAAGTACTTTTGATGATTGCTACTTTATAATACAATTTTATATCTGGTACAGCTAGGTCACCTTCCCTTGCATTTCTTCCCTTTTATTCTTCCAGATGAATTTTGTTATTATCTTTTAAATCTATAAAATATTTTTGGTAGTTTGATTGGTATGGCCCTAAATAAGTAATTAGTTTAGGTAGAATTGTCATTTTTATTATATTACCTCAGCCTACCCATGAGCAACTGATATTTTTTCAATTATTTAAATCTCACTTTATTTGTGTGAAAAGAGTTTTGTAATTGTGATCATATAGTTTCTGGGTTTGTCTTGGCAAGTAGATTCCCAAATATTTTATGTTGTCTACAGTTACTTTAAATGGAATTTCTCTTTCTATCTCTTGCTGCTGGGTTTTGTTAGCAACATATAGACATACTGATGATTTATGTGGATTTATTTTATATCCTGTAACTTTGCTAAAGTTGTTAATTATTTCAAGTAGTTTTTAGTTGATTCTTTAGGATTCTCTAAGTATACCATTATATCATCTGCAAAGAATGACAGCTTTGTTTCTTCTTTGCTTATTCTAATTCCTTCAATTTTTTTTCCTTTTCTTATTGCTAAAGCTAGCATTTCTAGTACAATACTGAATAACAGTGATGATAATGGGCATCCTTGTTTCACCCCTGATCTTATTGGAAATGCTTCTAGCTTATCCTCTTTACATATAATGCTTGCTGATGGTTTTAGATAGATGCTACTTACCACTTTAAGGAAAACTCCATTTATTCCTATGTTCTCTAGTGTTTTTAAAAGGAATGGGTGTTAAATTTTGTCAAAAGCTTTTTTCTGCATCTATTGAGATAATCATGATTTCTGTTAATTTTGTTATTGATATGGTCAATTATGCTGATGGTTTTCCAAATGTTGAACCAACCCTGCATCCTTAGTATAAATCCTACCTGGTCATTGTGTATTGTGTTTGTGATGAGTTGTTGTAATCTCTTTGCAAATATTTTATTTAAATTTTTGCATCTATATCAATTAGGGAAATTGGTCTATAATTTTATTTTTGCTCTTTGGTGAGGCAATAGGGGTTAAGTGACTTTTCCAGGGTCACACAGCTAGTAAGTGTCAAGTGTCTGAGGTCAGATTTGAACTCAGGTCCTCCTGACTTTAAGGTCAGACCTCTATCTGATACACCACCTAGCTGCCCCTATAAAATATATGGGGGCCACTCAGCCTGCATTCTCTTCCTCTTGCCCAACCCAAAGGCAGGGAAGAACAATCATCAATGATAGGCGACAGTTGCTGACAAGCAGAGTCACAAACTGTCTTCAAGCTCAGAAGAGAACACCACCGCTCCTCCTCGTGGTTACCGCCATAATACACTTTCAGCCACAATTCTCTAGCAACATACTATAGAATGATATCTAAAAGTATAGTCTTGGTCTATAATTGTCTTTCTCTGTTTTGGCATTTCCTGGTTTAGGTATCAGCACCATATTTGTATCATAGAAAGAATTTGGTAAGACTCCTTCTTTGCCTATTATTCCAAATAGTTTATATATTATTGGTTCAATTGTTCTTTAAATGTTTGGTAGAATTTGCTTGTGAATCCATTGGCCCTGGAGATTTTTCCTTAGGGAGTTTATTGATGGCTTCTTCAATTCATTTTTCTGAAATGGGGTTATTTAAGTATTTTATTTTCTCTTTTGTTAATATGAGCAATTTGTATTTTGTAAGTATTCATCCATTTCACTAAGATTGTCATATTTATTGACATACAGTCGGGCTAAATAGATCCTAATTATTGTCTTAATTTCCTCTTCCTTGTTGATGAATTCACCCTTTTCACTTTTGATACTGGTAATTTGGTTTTTTTCTTTCTTTTTTTAGTCAAATTAACCAAAAATTTATCTATTTTATTGTTTTTTTTCATAAAACCAGCTCTTATTTTTATTTATGAATTCAATAGTTTCTTAATTTGAATTTTATTAATTTCTCCTTTGGTTTTCACAATTTCTAATTTGGAATTTAATTGGGTATTTTTAATTTGTTCATTTCCTAGCTTTTTTGTTGCATCCAATTCATTGGTCTCCTCTTTCTCTATTTTTTTCCTATAAGAATTTAGAGATATAAAATTTCCCCTATAAACTGCTTTGGTGGCATCCTATACTTTTTGGTATATTGTCTCATTATATTAATTCTCTTAGATGAAGTTATTGATTGTTTCTGTGATTGGTTGTTTGACCCACTCATTCTGTAGGACTAGATTATTTAATTTGCAATTATTCTTTAGTCTATCTTTACATGGTTCTTTCTTACATGTAATTTTATCGCATTATGTTCTGAAAAGAATACATTTAAAATTTCTGCCTTTCTGCATTGGATTGTGAGGTTTTTATGCCCTAATATATGGTCAATTTTTGGGTAGGTGTCATGTACCACTAAGAAAAAGGTATATTCACTTTGATCCCCGTTCAATTTTTTCCAGAAGTCTATCCTATCTAATTTTTCTGAAATTCTATTCACCTTCTTAACTTCTTTCTTGTTTATTTCATGGTTAGATTTACCTAGTTCTGAAAGACAGAGGTGCCCCACTAGTATAGTTTTGCTGTCTATTTCTTCCTATAACTCACTTAACTTCTTTAAGAATTTGGATGCTGTACCACTTGGTGCATATTTGCTTTGTATTGATATTACTTCATTGTCTATGGTACCTTTTAGCAGGATGTAGTTTCCTTCCTTAACTCTTTTAATTAGATCTATTTTTGCTTTTGCTTTGTATGAGATCAGGATTGCTACCCCACCTTTTTTTTTAACTTCAGCTGAAGCATAATATATTTTGCTCCAGCCGTTTGTCTTTACTCTGTATCTCTCTGCTTCAAATATGTTACTTGTAAACAATATATTATAGGGTTATGATGTTTAATCTGTTCTGCTATCTACTTCCATTTTATGGAAGAATTTATCTTATTCACACAGTTATTATTACTGTGTTTTTCTTTCCATCCTATTCCCCCCCCCCCATTTATGCTTTCTCCATAGTAAGAATCTTTGGTCATTGTCTATTTCTGCTTTTTATGCATGGTGTTTACCCATTTCTTAACTTAAAAAAAAAAGTCGAGCTCTCCTGCTGAAGTGAAGGGGAAACTTATCCAAGCTTCTTTTCCTGCTTACCTGTACACACACATATATGTGTGTATATATATGCATCACATGTGATTAGATAGGTTTGTGTAACTGTTTTGGGGGAGTGTACTCTGTATCAAAGATTTGGGGGAATTTTTGTTCATAAGTACCTGTTGTGTCAAGGCAAAACATATCAGCTAAAAACAATTCTTACACTTGAATGTTTGGTTTCTGCTCACTTGGGCCTTACACAGGGATGTTTGACTGCTGGTGGATATTTGTCAGCCTGGAGTTTTGCCTCCTAGAGTTGTGCTTCCCAGAGTTGTGTTAAGGCGCCAGGTGATTTGACTGCTGGAGAATGCTGTGGACTGTGGTGGTTTTCTGAGCTGTTGTCTGCTGGTTCCCCTTCCCGTATTGAGGCTCTTGGGGCTGGGGGAAGATGGTGTCTTGGTATTGGCACTTGCCTGTTCCACCAACCTGAGTCTCAGTATCTCCTCCTGGTATGCTGAAGTGGGTTTTGCTGCTGGCTTGGTGGGACTCCTCTCATCCTGTACTGCTTCCCCTCCTCCAGAGAGAGAGGGGCCTTTCCCATTAATCCCCCAAGCTTCGTGGGCTACAAGACTTCAGTGCCCTGTTTTTTTGCTAGCTCAGGGTTTTCCTGGGTTGATATTTTTGGGGCTTTCAGGGGTCAATGAAGGAGGGTGAGAGCTACTTAATTCTTACTCTGCCATCTTGGCTCCTGGAATGGAACTCCCAGTGTGTTTTTATGTGGCCTGTGAGCTGAGTAGTTTTTACATTTTTAAATAAAAATTTCTTATATTGTATTGTACAATATATAAGATTAAAGTCCTGATAAATATATAAGCTCTATAAAATTAAGGGTCATTTCTCAACTGACAAGTGGTCAGATACACAAAAGAGAGAAATCAAATTGTCAACAACCAGCTGAAAAAATCTCTAATAAGAGAAATACAAATTAAAATAATTCTGAAGTATAAATTGTGCTCATCAAATTAGCATAGATACTAAAAGATGGGAAAACTCACTGTTGGAAGGGCTGCAGAATAGACACATTGATTCATTGCTGCTAGAACTGAGAATTGGTTAACCATTCTGAGTAACAGTTTGCCATTATAAAAGAAAAGTTACTAACCTGTTCATTTCCTTTGATGCTAGGATACCAGTTCTTGGATTGTACTCCCTATGAGGATATTGACAGTGAGAAAAGACTCTCAAAGACATTATTTTTAATAACAAACAATCTGGAAAAATATTTGCCCTAAGATTGAACACAATATGAATAAATTGTCATATGTGAATGCAAATGGAATAACACTCTGAATTATGAATATAAAGAAATCAGAGAAATATGGTAAGACTTTTTATATGTTACAAAATGAAGACAGAGCCAAAAGAAACATTTCCACAATGAATAACAATTTAAATAAAGACAACACTAAAAGATAAACAGACAAATAAAATACAACAACACCAACACCATAATATCTGCCAACAATTGGTAAATTATAAAAGGAAAAAGACATATATATATATGTACATATATATACACACATATGTACACACAAATATATGTGTGTGTATATATATGCATCACATGTGATTAGGTAGTTTTGTGTAACTGTTTTGGAGGAATGTACTCTGTATCAAGGATTTGGGGGGATTTTTGTTCATAACTACCTGTTATGTCATGGCAAAACATATCAACTAAAAACAAACAAACAAACCTCCATTAAGTTTGGTGGGAGTCATTTCATCATGTTTTATTCTTTTAGAGTTTACCTTTCCAAAGAAATGTTGCTAATTATTGGACGAGAGATAGAATCAGCAGGGAGGAATGGAATGTCAGTCTTGAAAAACTCAAGAGTGGAAAAATTGAATTGAATAAATACAAAGGCAGGTGGTAATCCTTGGACCTCACATGATTTTGATCAATTGCATCTGGCTTCCATTTTCAAATATTAATATTTCTTGACAGATATACTGTGCTATGTCTCCAGAAATATTTCAATCTTGGCTTGTGCCAACCGACCACTCACTGCAACCTCCTACTGTTAACACCCTGGCAGTCAGTCTTTCATGTTAACAGGATTTCTTTCCATCACAGTTTTCTTTCTCTCCTGAAGCAGATATTCCACAGTCCAGTGGGAAGGCCTCCAACATAAGTGATGTTTAAAACTTACAAGCCCCAAACCAACCTGCTAAATAAACTGGAATTACATCTGTCTGGCTCACTTTAAAAAAATTTGTCTCAACTGAAACCACTTCCCATTCAATTAATACTGAAAATAATTTAAGTTAAACAAAGAATATAAACAAAGAAAAATAATTCCATTAGATGAAATCAGGATGAAATCTTGAAATTATAATTGCAAATACAATATTTGAAGGCCCTAAAGTCATGGTCTAAAAATAACCAAAGAAGTCAGTTCTCTGTTCTCTAATATGGCATTTTTTGAGATATGTTTAAGAAACTGGGGTAACATAATTAAGTGCCACTTGCCAATATTTTCCAGCTCTGTGTAAACTTAACTGCACATATAAAACATGTTTTCTCCTGCTGTTAACTTTTTATTGTCCTATGCCTGTAGTAAACTCAGGGCTGCTATGCTTGAGGGTGTAATTTTGTGCAGGAAACCACAAATAAGGTCTGGGAATAATTGCAACAAAGATCAAGATTAAAAGATAGAAGTTTGCAAAATCTTTTGACATTTCTATCAAAATACATCCTCCAGAAGAACAGTTCCAATTATTCTCCTGATTATGAAACTGATGTTAGAGGAAGCCACATAGGTTTCATTTTGTCACACAGCAAAGTCACATAGCCTCAGTTAAAGTGTGTAGTCTCCTAGTTATCTGTTCCAAGTTTAGGTAAAGAAAAAATACCCCAACATTTGTTATTGAGTTTTTTTAAATGTTTCTGGGCCAAAGTTTTTCGTTTTATAAGGATGTAGCCATATCTATATAAGGCAGTCATTCCCAAAGATTTTATTTGGCCCCACATGTCTCTCCCAGCTACAAAAGGAACACCCACTCTGTCTTTCTTTCCCATAGAGTTGGAAATTAGTCAATAAACATTTACTAAGCACCTACTATGTACCAGGTATTGCGCTAAGCACTGGGAAAATAAAACTTAATTGTAAATATTTGGAGATATATAATGCAAGGCCATCATGGGATGATTCTGGAAATTCTTCAGGGAGTGTCATATTTGTCTATAAAACCAATTTTGACTGGTCATTTTAAGTCCAGAACTCCTTCCACAACATCCAAGATTACCATACTCCTCCAGACTT